ATGGGGTGTTCCATTTAAAATAATAAAGTTGATGCCACTTGCGTTTAAACCGGAAGTGGAATTTTGTTTAAAATATTTTAGAAAAATAGATTTAAATGAATTATAAACGCTTTTAAAATTTCAAATCGATATCTTTTTCCGTTCCCCAGAAACTTCTAATGGACCACGAACGTGAAACACCCTGTATATAGGCATCTCTATAGGCACCAGAATTTGAAACTATGCCAAAATTTATAGTTTGTAAATCAGGCTATTTATCAAGGTAAGTGCCCTACCACAACTCAAAACTCAGTATTCATATATTTTATTTTATTATTTGTCCCAAAAATTATAGCTAAAAAGTGTAGTGAATATTAAAACCATCTCTTTTTATAGGAATTGGTTTTCAAATTTGCCTGATGCTAGCCTCGAGAGGCTGCAGGGTCATCATAGCTGACGTGGCAAATTCAGAAGAATCCAAACGAAAAATCATAGAAGAAACTAACAACCCAAACATATTGACAAAAATGGTAGATTTAGCATCATTTAAATCTATAAGAGCTTTCGCAGAAGATATCAATAGAACCGAAAAAGCTGTCCATATTTTAATCAACAATGCTGGAGTCGCATATGCTAAACCATGGATTACCGATGATGAAGTTAATAGGACGTATCAGATAAACCATTATGGGCCATTTTTGCTGACCCATCTCCTGATAGGTAATATTTTAGTGTAGTAGTTAACTACCAAATATACTAAAGAGCAAAATATATAAACTTAAGAAATTTAGAATTACGATTAAATAACTTTTAGATCTTTTAAAAAAATCGGGTCCAAGTCGTATAATATTCACCACCTCTTTAGCAGCATTTTTAAACAACCTAAACGAAGATACGATGAATCCAACTGATCCAGATTTGGAAACTTTAAACGCTTTTGCTGCTTGTGTTCAATATGGAAACACCAAAACCTGTATTATGATGACAACGAAAGAAATGGCTGAAAGGCTGAAAGGTACAGGAGTGACTGTCAATTGTCTTCATCCTGGTATTGTGAGGACGAAGACTATAGGAAAAGCTGTGGCATTTGGGGAAAATATGTGGATTAACAAGTCCTTTCTGTATATTTGGAATTTTTTAATGTATATTAGTGGAAAAGTAAGTTTTTTTATAAGGTAAACGTTTTTAGACTTTTGTTTAATTTGTTTAACACAATAATATAATTTATAATGATAATTATAATTATTATTTAAATAATTAATTATAACTATAAGTGTTTACCTTGTACTTTATTGCCTTGTAATATAATTGGAAAGCTTTGTCAAGAGATGTCGGAAGTATACATTATATAAAAAATAACAATTTTTGCCAATATGTATAACATAGAGTGTCTAAAAAAAAACCGACTATTTTTTTTTTCCAAAGAACATTGAAAAATCATCAGACTATATCTCTAGAAAACGATCCTGTGAAAATATGAGCTCTTAAAATTAATATTTAGAGGTGGCGTTTTGTAATTTTCTATTTCCTATTTAAATAACATGGAAATTTTTTTTAAACTTTGAAATTTTGTGACGTGATTACGAGCTAATTCATAAGTAAGACAAAATTACCCCTTATAGGAAATTTATGCTCTACAAAAAAGGTCTGATTGACATTTTGCATAAGTCAAGCCGTTTCAAAGATATCGAGCCTCAAACTTCAGACTATTTAAAATTATGCTTTTTTTTTAAATACAAAAAAATCAATTTATATGTATTAAAAACCCAAAATTATTAACTTATTAATTATTATTGTAGATTTAATAACAATAATAACCATAATTCTTGATTTTTCGAAAAGGACCTTATTTTTACAAAACTTTTTGTAGACCCAGTAACAAAAGTATTTGTTGAAAAAAATTTTGATAAGAAATGTTGCTTTATTAACCAATTTCCTAAACAAAAAAATTAACACATACCTACATAAAAGATCATAAAACAAACAATAAAATGCACACCATTCTTAAATTATCAAATTATAAAAAAAAATGGGGTACAATATAATTATCAGTACTACTACAACACTTACTGATGTATTTCGTAACTTTAACCCACTCTACTGTATCCCCTAATTTCAGTTTAAAAACCAGTGATGGCATCTTTTTTCGGATACTTTCGCACATTCGTTAAATAGACCTATTATATTAATATATAATATATATATTAATATATAATTTAATTTTAATTTTTAATGTTTAAAATAAAAATCAATGTTCAATATTAAATAAAATGAAGAAAAAACGTAAAAATTCTCAAAAAACTGAATTTTGGTCTTCCACTGAAAAATTCATAACTTCGCCATTTATCCATGGATTTTTATAAACAGCAGCTTATTTTTTTCCTTTAAGTATAATCTATACGTAAAATAAATCAAACTGAAATTATCTTTTCGATTTCTATCTTTCCCAGAAAGATATGTAAATTTTTTACCTCGATTTTTGTAAAACAAAGGACTTTTTCAACTTCATAAAATCGCCAGTATCGAACTACTGAGCCGATACCAAAACTATACAAGAGAAAGTTGTAGAGGGCTCAATTACCTTTTTAAGTGCTTGTTTGGTCAAATCGATCAATTAGACCTCAGAATATACTCTAAAACGTCAAATCACCTCAGAGAATATAAAATAAATAAAAAAAAATGTATATCTCGAAAACAATTTTTAAGTGTGATTTTGGCGTTTAGGGAGCCAAACTACACAAGAAAATCATAGTGCGACATGGTCGGCAAAATGGCTGTATACTAGTGTTATTAGTACTTTATAGACCATGAGTTTTTTAAGCATTTAATTAAATAATTTATCAAGACTCTGTCATCATATTTAGGTTAGGTTCAACTAACATGATGACATTTTGGCTTTATTTATGTACGATATTTAATAAATAGTATTAATAGGTAGATATATAGATCGATAAATAAATTTATTAAGTAATAAACATTTCATTAAACGTCGGGTATAAAATTAAAAAATAACATTAACATAGCTAGGTATAAAAACGTATTAAAAAGCGGTATGTAAATATAATAATATTATAAACAAAATAAAATATTATAAACAAAATAAAATACATTTATTAACATTGTTAGTTAAATTTGGCATTCAAGTATTTATTTAAAGAATAATTATAAATTAAAATACTTTTCACAGATTTTGAAAAAGCTTTGGGATTATTTTTTTTATCGATTCTGGAAGATGATTAAACAGCTTCGGCCCCCAATAGTCAGTACTTTCTTGTTCCAATTTGTTTTTCTGTGGACCAGAAAATATGATGTTAATCAAACTTTGACCTCAAATAACTATAGAAGAAATCAATTTATAGAAAAATAATAAGAGACCTTTTTGTAGAGCGTTACATTTTATATAAGAAACTGCAACGATCATTGCCATAAGTTACTTTGATACAGAGGTATAAAATTCCAAACATAAAATTATTTTTCCCATGTTAATTAAATGGGAAAATAAAACAAAAACAGCGACCTCTTAGAGTTGAGCTTAAATATTAATTAGAAATTAAATAGAAACATTTGAGAGGGTAAGATAAAAAAAATAATAATTTTTTTTGAAGCACCCTAGTATACATACTTTATTGCTGCCAAAATAAAAATCTTTCTATATTGGTAGAGTTTAAAGTTTTCGGCTTTGGACAATTGAGCGAAGCACAAAAAGTCACGTCTGAGCCGAATGGCATACAACATTAAATTTATACAAATTTGTAATTAATATTAACTTATTATCGATTATCGGATTATCGGAAGTGTGTTATTATTTGATTGCAATATTTGAATTTCAAGCAGCACTGAAGCTAAATAAAATCCTTTAATAAAAAGCTTTTTCTTTTTTTTAGAGTGCATGGGAGGGAGCCCAAAATGCCGTGCACTTGGCATGTTCAAAAGATTTGAAAAATACAACAGGGAATTTTTTTGCCGACTGCATGGTTTTTCCCATTAAACCATATCAAGCCTATAAAAGCAAACTAGCAGAATTGGTATGGAAGAAATCTGAAGAACTTACTGGTTTAAAAGAAAGTGAAAAATTGAAACCATAAATTAAATTTTGCTTCATTAGTTAAACTTAGACAATTAAGTATTTTTTTTTGTTTTATATATATATATATACATATTTTTATTTAATGTAAAGAATAATCCTTTCTTGGGAAAGTGTGATTAAAATTAATTAGGTTTTCCAAACTACGTGGTGATAAAATTTTTCAGAAAATTAAGGATAAAAAGTCTAAAGAAATTGTAGATACCTACATATAATTATATACTTATTTAGTCTTTATTTATTAAGACAACATTTGTAATATACAAAGTTTAACAAAAAATTGTCAAAAAATGACATTATTTGTTTTTTTTTTCGTAAATAATGGTAACCAATATAACCCCCCAGCCTAACAACGGGAATATTGAACTCATTATTCACGTTTTTAGGCATCAGTGATTGGCTGATTTCAATATTTACTGTTATTTGAATCAATCGGGTTTTAAATTGAAAAAAAAATAGTTAATAGATCTCAGATTTGTTTATATATACGAGGGGCGACTATAATGATCTTTAAAGTCCTCCCACGTTGGGAGCCACTTGTAGTGGACAGGTCGTGCAGTCGTGGTAGGCAACACAATATGCGTTGATGTGTTCTTGGTTACATAGTTACATAGTTATAAAATAAATTTTGTTATTAATGAAAATTACTAAATTGCAGTAGAAAAAGCATAGTATTACACTCGAAATATTTGCGTTATTTACTAGGATGATTTACAAACCTCATCCTTGTGAATAGCCTGCATTATCTCTATAATAATATACTATTATTAGACTTGTAATTACCCAACTTTTCTCTAATTTAACCGACCTTATTTATTTGAATAATTTTACTAATATTGCAATATTCCATGGAAATACAATTCAAAACAAATAATTTTAATTTGTTTGCTAATTATATAATTTAGATAATAACTTGACTTCGCACTGCTATAATGTTTTATGATTAGTACTTTTCGTGTAACAAAACATATTTTATAAAAGGTTTTAGGATGTAATTATTGTAATATATAACACACATACTATAAATATAACAATTTAAGTGGGAGACACTAAATTTTTTTAAGTATAAGTGATGATCAGTTTTAAATTATATTAACTGTAAAGATGCTAGTGACGCTACTTTATTTCTTGGTTATAGTTTGTTTAGTGAGTTTTGTAGTTACTCGTCTAACTATTGGATACACCAAAGGTTCAGCTTGTTTGGTTGGCAAGACTGCTATTGTGACCGGTGGAAATTCTGGTAAAAATATATTACTACTGTCTCTTACTATTATTTGTATTGCAAAAAAGCTTTTTTAAAATTACAAAAAAAGTAAGGTAATAGAAATTTATTTTTCACAAAAATTTACCATTTTGCTGTTATATTTCTTACTGCAAAGCCTGCTGAATTTTATAAACATAAGACTATAACAGTAGATTGTCACCATTCCTAGAGAAAATATTGGTTGAATTTTCTTTGAAATCCATACATATATGTATAAGTAAATCTCGTGTATACACAAGATTTATATCAGCTTTAAGAGGAATCAACCCTTAGAGGGAAAATTGCTTTTTTTAGAAAAAGCAAATCTTGTTTGTAGAGAGACATGGGTTTGCAAGTTGATCATCTTCTTAGCAAAAGTTTGTGTAAAAAACATAAATCGAATTATTTTTATGGATATATAACTATTTTTTTAGTTTATCATACAATATTTGATAATCGGCCAAAAAGGACCACTAAAATTGAAAACTAAACATACTTACCAAAGTGAATATAATTAAAATATTGTACAACGATATAAAATGTTTATATATATTAATATTAAAAGAATTAAATAAAAAAATAAAATTTACAACTTGAACCTTGAACTTAAATATCAGAGCAAAATAAAAATATATCAATTTATCTAAATAAAGAAATAAATGTCAGTGGCGATACTGCAAAATCTGTTATTAATAATTCATTTATTATAAATAATTTTAGTATATACCAGTGGCGGCTGGTGGATTTTGGGCACACCCATATCTCAGTTATTAGACATGGGACCCACATCAAATTTATATGAGTTTACATTGACATTATAGACAAGTTCTGCGCAAGCAGAATTTAAATTAAAGTTTGGGAAAAAAGTTAGTTTTTAAGTGTACCCCCCAGCCTCCTGCCCCCCTAAATTAAGATAATTTTAATTCAATTGGAACAATATTTAATTCACTAAGGTTTATCGACAAATTTTAAATTTTATTAAAAAATTTCAAGAATTACAGGTTTTATACCATTTTAAATTTTTATTGTTTCTTTTACTAAATTAAAAAAAAATAGAAATGGTATAAAATGATATGATTCGTCATTAGATTTACGAAATGTCTGTTTTAGCTACTTACAAAGCAACAGCTATTAATCTATTATGTATTTGAAGTTATATTTTATTGTAATTTTGTCCTGTTATTGGTATATCTGTTGGGCAAATAAATATTATTATTATTATTATTATTATTATTATTATACTATTAGTATGAAACCCGAACCAAGGAAAAAATATATATTAAAAAAAAAAAAATACCGAACCATTAGACTGGATCAAAAAAATCAACTATTTTTTTTTTTGAAAAGTATATCGAAAATATGGTTTGGGGTGACAAAAAATGGCAATTTTAAATATTTTGTCCTCAGCAAGTTTTTATCTCAGAACTTCCAAACCATTGAGTTTAACAAAATTGACGTAGATATATTTTTTTTAAGAAAATTAAATGATCTACAAAAAAGTTTAAAATGAAATTTTCCGTCAGATGAACCGTTTGCTTAAAATCATGCCTTAAAAATTGGTACAGTTTTACATTTTGATCTTATAACTTTGGAATTTTGTAATTCATGTAAAAATCAGTACCCCAAAAAAAACGATGAATATTCTTTTGGAAAATCAAATGCTTTACAAAAAAATCCTCTTAACATTTTTGGCTAAATTCACTCAATCAAAAGTTATTTAAGGTTTAAGTTGAAGTCAAAACGAAATTCTTGTTTTTTCCTCTGTAGATTTATTTTTTTATGGATGATAATTAACGATTTTCAATAAAAAACAACATGATTGTTATTATTTAAACGATTAAATAGGTAACAGTGAAAATAATATTTTCTAAAGAAAATAATTTCTTAAAGCGAATGTTATATTTGTTTTTTATTTTTCATTAATTTTATCAATAACATAAAGATTATCATCGATAAAAGTATTCAAGTTTTCAATTGACGCAAAAAAAAATCTGGAGCGGAAAAAACAACAATTTAGTTTTGACTTCAAATTTAACCTTGAATAACTTTTGATGGAATGAATTTAGCCAAAAATGTTAGGAGACTTTTTTGTAGAGCATTTGATTTCCCATAAGAATATCTATCGGTTTTTTTTCGGGCACTGATTTTTACATGAATTAATAAATTCCAAATTTAAAAGATCAAATTGTAAAACTATACCAATTTTTAAGGCATGATTGTAAGAAAACGGTTCATCTGATGGAAAATTCCAATCAAACCTTTTTGTAGAGCATTCAATTTTCTTCAAAATATTTCCAAGTCAATTTTGTTATACTCAATGGTTTGGGAGTTCTGAGAGAAAAACTCGCTCAGGGAAAAAAATCTAAAATAGCGATGAAAGACCTCATAATATTAATATTATGACTATGATTATGACCATATTTTCGATATACTTTTCAATAATTTAAACAATGGGGTAGTTATATTTTTTCTGACCTATACTTTTTATGGTTTTATTCAAGGCGTTTTGTAATATTAAACATTTCTGTGAAATCACAATTTCAATTGAGTTTACCGTTTTCGAGATATTTACAAAAAATACAAATTTTTATGACGTCACAAACCTCGCCATGTGACCAACATTCTAAGATTTCTATTGGTTAAAAATTACCCTTTTGTCAAGTTGTCTTGTTAATGATTTCATTCGGTTATGTCAGAAAATACCCGAAGAGGTTATGTACAAATACTGTCACTGTCAGTTGAGTGAAAGATGGTCACCAAATTCATTTAGTACCTATCTTCCTTATTACGAGGTATCATATTACTGTTTGATATTTTAGAGTCCAAGATATATCTAAAAGAATATAAAGAAGTAGGCATTACACTAATGAAATGCATTTACGACAAAATATGATTATAATTATAGGTACTTACTTTACTTACTTTAACGTGGCGCCATCTATCGTAAGAATCTTAAACTAAACACACTGGCAACCATAGAAAAAGCTGGCAACGTTGTCAATAGCCTAGTGACGTAATTAGGAGATTTTTTTTTGTAAATATCTCGAAAACGGTAAACTCAATTGAAATTCCGATTTCACAGAAATGTTTAAAATTACAAAACGCGTTGAATAAAACCATAAAAAGTATAGGTCAGAAAAAATTTAACTACCCCATTCAAGCGCAGTTTCAGGACATTTTCTAGACATGTAAGAGTTTAGAAGGCAGAAAATAATTCATAAAACCGTATAATCATTAAAACAAACAATGATATTTCAGACTTCATAAAATAAATCCTTCCTTAATTTTAATCCCTATTCTTCAGGCATTGGCTATGAAGTATCTCTGGCACTGGCGACAAGAGGCTGTCGGGTAATAATAGCCGACCGAGACGATGCCGAGGCCTCGAAAGAGCGGATAATCAAGGAGACCGGCAACAAGAACGTAGTGGCAAAGCACTTGGATCTTGCTTCTTACAAGTCCGTCAGAGAGTTTGCAGATGATATTAATAGAACGGAGAAATCGTTGCACATACTTTTGAACAATGCCGGAGTGGGTGCCCTTCCCGAACTGCACACGGAAGACGGGGTTAATGCTGTTTTCCAGGTCAATCATTACGGCGGGTTCTTGTTGACCCATTTGTTAGTCGGTAAGAAAAAAATGCCAGTTTTTGATCTATTAAAAATAAGCCATTGTTTCAGATCTTCTCAAAAAATCTGCACCAAGCAGAATAGTGTTCACCAGCTCGATACTAGCATTTCAACACAACTTGACAGAAGAAAATATGAACCCGATAAACTACAACCCAACTTCAACGTATGCGAGCACGAATGTTTACAGTAACACCAAGTTTTGCTGCTTGGTTGTCGCAAACGAGTTTGCAAAAAGACTGGAAAGATTCGGCGTTACGTGCAATTCTCTGCATCCAGGAACAGTGAGGACTAATATTTTTATCAGAAGTATTAAGAGAGGCCGCTTACAAGATGAGATATTGTTATATATTGGAAGAATATTTAACTATATCACTGGAAAGGTACAGTTAATACGTTAGGTTTTTTTTTAAATAGTTATGCGACATTTATGACTGTTACATGTACTTATTTTGGACAGCACAGTGCTGTTACATATGTACATTAGGGTGATTCATTTCCGCAAAGTTTTTGTTTTTTTTCGGTGCTCAAGCAAAATATTAATCTACCTATAGAAAAAAAAAAATTTCACCAAGGTAGAGCTCTTAATATCAATTTTAAGTACTTGCAGTTTAAATTTAAAGTTTTCCCATTTAAAATACATGTAAAAAAATGGTTTTTTTTTTCAAATTTCTAATGCTTACCCACCTTTGACAATATTGCAAATCGGTTTAATACACCTTATGGGGAATTTCACGCTCTTTAAAATTGCTTTTGAGTTTTTTTTTGTAACTCGCATTGGTTCACCAGTAGGAGTCGTCAAAGGACAGTTTTTGAAAAAAATCGGTTTTTTTTTATTTTTTTCGAACAAATTGCCAAAAGTAGTGAGAAAAAAGGGCTGATTCATAAAAAAAAAGTTATCCAACCAATATTTAATGAATTTACTGCCATTTTTATAACTCAAAACGTAAGAAATTGATAAATACCAACCTATAATGTTATTTAGATTGATTTTTTCTATTTATTATCATTATATTTCCCTACACCTAATCTTCATTTATATTTTTTTGCTATTTTTTTATGAATTTATCTGTTGTTTTCATATTCATTATAAGTGAGAAATTAATAATTTTAAAAAACTTCTTAGTGTAGGGAAATAATGATAATAAATAGAAAAAATCAATCTAAATAACATTATGAGTTGGTAATTATCAATTTCTTACGTTTTCAGTTATAAAAATGGCTGTAAATTCATTAAATATTGGTTGGATAACTTTTTTTTATGATTCAGCCCTTTTTTCTCCCTACTTTTTGCGGTTTGTTAGAAAAAATTAAAAAAAAAACCGATTTTTTTCAAAAACTGTCTTTTGACGACTCCTACTGGTGAACCAATGCGAGTTACAAAAAAAAACTCAAAAGCAATTTTAAAGAGCGTGAAATTCCCCATAAGGTGTATTAAACCGATTTGCAATATTGTCAAAGGTGGGTAAGCATTAGAAATTTGAAAAAAATATATATTTTTTACATGCATTTTAAACGGTAAAACTTTAAATTTAAATAGTAAGTACTTAAAATTTATATTAAGAGCTCAAACTTGTTGAGAATTTTTTTTTCTATATGCAGATTAATATTTTGCTTGAGCACCGAAGAAAACAAAAACTTTTCTCCCTACTTTTTGCGGTTTGTTAGAAAAAATTTCAAAAAAAAACGATTTTTTTCAAAAACTGTCCTTTGACGACTCCTACTGGTGAACCAATGCGAGTTACAAAAAAAAACTCAAAAGCAATTTTAAAGAGCGTGAAATTCCCCATAAGGTGTATTAAACCGATTTGCAATATTGTCAAATGTGGGTAAGCATTAGAAATTTGAAAAAAAATACATTTTTTTACATGCATTTTAAATGGGAAAACTTTAAATTTAAACTGCAAGTACTTAAAATTGATATTAAGAGCTCAAATTTGTTGAGAATTTTTTTTTCTATATGCAGATTAATATTTTGCTTGAGCACCGAAGAAAACAAAAACTTTGCGGAAATGAATCACCCTAATGTACATGTGTTTATATACTCGGATGTATAGACCTATAGGTACTATAGTCACTATAATACCTATAGGTCTATACATACGAGTATATATACACATATACATACGAGGTGTGTTCAGAAAATAACGGGAATTTTTAAATTTCGCGGGTTTGAAGAGTCCAGTTGTCATAAAATTGTCTTTATTATGTTGGTATACATACTCCTAAAGAATGATAAAATTTTAAATGTTTTCATTGTTAACTTTGTCTGTGGCAGCCGCTAAGGTTAGACGTGTTTTTATGAGGTCGGCGATTTTCGTTCGTTAAAAGAAATGGGATCACAGAATTTGTATAAAATTTTCCGTAAAAAATGACATAAACTGTGTGAAATGTTAAGAAAGGCCTATGGTGTCTGCTATGAGTAAAACAAAAGTTTATAAGTGACATATGAGTTTCCAATATGGCCGTAAAGACGTTGAAGATGACGAACGCTCCGGACGTCCAAGCACATTAACAACCGATAAAACATGGAAAAAGTGGAAGAAATGGTTATGAACGATCACCGAATCACAATCAGATAAGTCGCTGATGATGTTGGCATATCGATGAAATGTTTTCGAATGTTTTGGGTATGAAACGCGTGGCGGCAAAATTTGTTCAAAAATTGTTGAATTTTAAATAGAATTTTTTGCCAAAAACAATACTGTAATGATGCCCCAGCCTACATATTCGCCAGACATGGCTCCGTCGTTTTGCAAGCATAAATGACATTAAAAGCGCATCGCTGAAAGAACTAAAGACTATCCCAAAGATCGGGAGAAAAGTTTAGAGGATTAGAAGAAGCGCTGGCACAAGTGCATAATATGTAATGTTCTGCTTTAGGTTTCCACGGGCGTTACATATATTAATGGTTTTCCGGGATCTGCACCTTGTTGTCGATTTTTGGTTCTTAAAAGAACCGTATGTCTGATCAATATCATGTACCATCTTCAGGTCTTATCTGCTGAGCTGCTGTTGCTGCTCTGCTGCGAGTTAGACGTGGAGCAGCAGAGCAGCAACAGCAGCCCAGCAGATAATACCTGAAGATGGTACATGAGATTGTACCGAAACGTCGTCAGACAAACGGTTCTTTTAAGATGTATGTATATATACATATCTCTTTAGTTTTTGTCCATTTAAATGTAAATGTGTAAGGGGTTTAACTTGGTACTTTAGTGTATAGTGACCCATCAAAACCCGCTTATTTACAAATTTTGTAAAGCAAAAAATTAGTTGAACAATTATCTATCTATCTTTATAAAATTATAACAAAAATTGTATGATTAAGTATGTGATTTAATTAAATCATTAGCTGCAAAAATATACTGGTTTAACCTATAGGTATATGTATACAGGTATAGCACAAACAACAGGTAGGAAATTGATTAATTTAATACTCTGGGATCTTATTTAGAATCAAAAGTATGTAACTTCAATGTTAAATAATATTTTTTTTAATTTAAAATATACTCTTGATTCTAAATAAATAATATCCCAGGCTATTAAATCTAATCAATTACTACACAATACCTTTGGTTCTAATTTTACTTTAAACGTCAGGCTCATGTGGAAAATTTCTACTTAGTTAAAATTGTTTTAGAAAATTTTTATTCCCTAAAGTAAAATTTTTTTATAAATATAATACATTGAAAACATGAAATAGAAAAACTCTTATAATTTATCAAACCAAACTTTCTTTTTTTAGAATGCCTGGGAAGGTGCTCAAACTTCAATACATTTAACGGCGTCCAATGACGTGGAAAAAATAACTGGAAAACACTTTTGGGACTGCAAAGTTTTTCCATTTCTGCCGCCGAAAGCAAATAATAAAAACATTTGTAAGATGGTCTGGCAGAAATCTGAGGAGTATTCTCGTCTGAAGGAATCTGAAAAAATTAAAGAATAATACAATAAAGTTATATTGGTTTTTAATGGTGGTTTATCAATTGTTTGACTAAAAAGCGATATTAGATTGTTTTGGAAAAAACTGATGTCAATGTAATAGGTCTATAGTTCTCTACTTCATTAAAATCATTTTTTTATAGATAGGTATAACTTTTTCAGTTTTTAAGATGTCGGGAAATTTCCCCGATTAAAACGATAAATTTTAAATTTCCTAAATATGTTAGTGGTTTAATTATCAAAATAATAATTTTTAACCAGGAACATTGGAATATAATATTAATAATAATTGTCTGTACCGCTAGATCGTTCATTACCTTCTTCAAGAGTTTGTCCAAAGTGTGTTTTAAACGGAATACCTAATTATTTCAATATGTTTTTTTAAATTTCTTCACCCATTTTCTAAAAGCAACATGAAAAACTCTAATTTCTAATACCACATGGTAGCAGAGGTCTCCAGTCCCATAACATTGAATTAGATAAATTCTTTGCTTCAAAGACAAATTATTTTAGTTTTATTAGTCGTAGAAAAAGTAAGTTTGTTAAGCAAAATAGTGCCTTAAAGTCATTATGGAAGGTCTCCACCTTTTCACCATAAAAAACTGGTTTGCAGAATTTCGTCTAACATCGATGCTGAAAGTTCTGGACTGCCAAATGAGTCACAATCTAAGGGTAAATGTGTGAGATTGATAAGACCGTAGACATCTTAAATGGAACTTCATTTGGCAAAGAATTAGGTTAGGAATTGCTACTGCATCCTCCGTATTCCCAAGATTTCGCAGAACTGAAAGGACTAAGGACTTATCAATATGACCTCGTATAATCCAATTGACGTCTTTGAGAGTTTATTCTAAAGAGCCAACAATATTACTTTTTTGTCAATTATGTTAAACGTCTGTTTCCCCATTTAACTAAAGGCCGATTTTGTTCGAACGATAGAGCGGATGAAATGGATTCATTAAAGGAAATTTAAAGATCATTAGGCATTCACCTGTTTAGACGACGGAAGGTGTTCCTGTCGTTAAATCGACATTATAATGCCGATTTAACGACAGGAACACGTATACGGCCGCACAAAAGACGCTTTCCACCTGGATGTCTAATGGGTAGAATTATAAGAGTATATTTCAAAGGATGACGGGAAAATCTAAAAGCGTATGGTCTTGGGTTCATTCTTAGACCATTCGCATCTAGATACCCAAGTAACACATTAGGTTTTATTATTGCTTCTTTTAAAATTACACCTCAATAAACAAACTAAAATACATTTTGAACGAAAAAAAAAGTTAATGCTGGTAAGATCACTAATTCATCCGAAAATAAACTACTGCAGCTCTGTATATTATTTTCTCTTGCCAAATTATAATCGTTTAAAACTTCAGCGCTTGTGCTGATTTTAGAGAGCATGTCTCGCCCTATTTAAATATCACACAAAAGCTAAATATTTTTCAAATGTGTGTTAATAATTATGGGTTGTTCTTGTTCAAATTAGTAAAATTTAAGAGTCCAGATTATCTTTTCAACTTGATGAAGTTACGGTTAACGATTAATGATATTAATATTCGAAAAAATAACTATACAATTCCACAGCAGTACTAGCAAGTTTAAAGGATGCTTTGAATACACTGCACCTACTCTCTAAAAATAAATTAGTCAAAAATTACTAATTTAATAGTTATTAGTGGCTGCTTTTTTCACTTGTAGCATGGTTAACCATGTAATACCATGGTATTCCAAAATTTAACAGCTAATTCTTATGTAAAATTGTCCTCTGAATCCGAAAATCAAAAGTTAAAAAAGTAGAACAGTTTTTCTGATATAGTCAATTTTTCATTTAATATGGAATTGACTATATCTCAAAAATTGCTCCACTTTAATAATTTTTCACGGTATTTTCGGATTCAGGGGATAATTTTACATAAGAATTGGGTGTTAAATTTTGGGATACCATGGTATTCCATGGTTAACCATGGTACAAGTGAAAAAGCACCCACTAATAACTACTGAATTAGTCATTTTTGACTAATTCATTTTTGAATGAGATACTTGGTTTTTTAGGTTTACCTCAGTTAAATTTTAAACAGGTTTTAAAAAACCGTGTACGAAGTTTGCATTTAGACATTTAAGAATAATTCCTTTAGGCCATATTAGTATCTGTGATACAATTTGCCGTGTGCAGTCTTGGTTGCATAGTATGTACCGATTGCGACAAAGGCCAAGTCGTTAGACGGTGTGGATCACGTGATGTTCTTACATCTCGCCTTTGTTGGCTTACCAACCCAGTATATAAGCTCAGGTGTTCTTTGTTTGCCATTTTAGTTGTAGGAATGAGTAATTAAGTGTTTATTTCATAATTTAATTATGGGGTTAAGTTTTTAGAACAAAGATGTTAAAATATAAAAGTTAATGTTTTTTTGAAAAATAAATGGCCTACAATACATTATCAATTTAACAATGACTATATTTTGTAAACTACTGTTTTGTGATATGTAAACTTTAAATTATACACGATTTATTCTTAATTGATTAGGCTATATTTATCTACACATACATGTGTGATTATTTATCAATTATCTCTCACATTACACTTTACACACTATTTGACCCTAACAAAGTGCGTCTTATCGATTTAATTATGTCTGCTAAACCCACCTTCAATGGAAAATATGTTTTTTCGCAAGCCTATTTTGATTTACCACAAGAAATTAATTAAACACAGTGTTAATTAAATCGACCAATAAAAAACGTGATAAAGGGTTGTTTGGCTTATGTTTCCGTTTATAAAACAATATTTTATTTAGACAGCGAAAAAAATTTAATTTTAAGTCTAGCAGTGGTGTGGATTATGTTTTTAATTAAATTTAAAGTGTGAAATTGTGTTATTTAAATTCAGACTTGAAGGTTGAACGCAGAATAACAAAGTTCAAACAGCGTGGTGTGGTGTAATATCATTTAGTATAAAGTGGCTTTATAGACTGTGAAAAAATGTAGGTAAAAGGTCGTCGAAGTAGCATATATCATCTAAGAAAATACCCAGTCTTGTTTCAAAGAAATTATTAGTTTTTTTATGCCTAGTTTTTTGGTGACAGTTTTTTTACCAGTTATTATTATTAGCCCTCAATTTTAGGCCTAAAACACATAATATATCAACTAACATTAAAAAACAAGATCACAGTTTGTTTGAATTTTTTCCGAAATTTAGTAGATTTTTTTATAATCAACTTTATAATCATCTAGTTAAAGGTAATTTTGCATATATTCCAAAGCATTTCAGCAAATTTATTATTATTAAAGAGAAGCAATTAAACAATATCTAATTTAAATTCATAGTTCAATCCACATTCATTAATCCAGGTTATATCATAAACATGTTGCAGCTAACAATCCAGTTTAGTGATGTCATATTTAAACCATTTGAGTCTCTAAAAACCATATGCACAAAGCATAGTTAAGTTTTGTTGGCCCAACCAACCACATTTGGTGGTTTCAGGTTTTTTGAGAATGGCAATATTTTAGAAAATGATTATTTTTTATTTTTGGTTGTTTCACTGTTAGTCTAGAATGGGTTTTTTGGGAAGCCACCAGGTCTAGTAATAACATAACATGTTGTTCTGCAATAATTTTAAGAAATCATACATTTTTAATATTAGAGCTTCACGGAAGATAGATTCACGGAAGATAGCTTCACGGAGGTTAGGATTTCGAATGTTTTTTTAAAACATCCCTTTGTATATTTAAAATAAGTTATTGTATCTTTTGACACCTTAATATTTTTTTCAATACAATAATTGTACATTTATAAAATATTTATAAAAAAAATCTACTTACTGAGATATTACACTTCACGGTGAATAGGTTTTTAAATAGCAAATTAATAAACTTAAACTTTTGAATTATAAAACAGCAACATTCTCATCTGCATATAAATTCTAACTGACCTTCAGGAATCACATGCATCTATAATGTCGTAAACAGAGGTTTTTGCTTATTTAAAATGGTTAAAGCGACATCCGTTGCATAAAATTTCAAGCAAAAACAGATACATAAATGGTTAAAACATTATTTCTTTTAATTTATTTGATTCGATTGCTTTGGATGTATTTAATTTATTTAGTGAACTGATTTTTTTAGAATGCTTTTACTACCTCAGATATTTGAAAACATATAGGTTAACCTAGAAAGAGTAACAGTCACGGAGGATAGGTTTTAGACTTTTAAAAGATTGTAAAAAATAATTAATTGCGGTTAAAAATCTGGAACCTGAGCTGTAATTTCTACTTAATTATGAAGGATCAAAACACAATAAAAGTGTAGGTCAAACTCATTTAGTTTTATTAAATATCACGGGGTAACACCATTTCGTGAGATTCACCCTTATATTGATTATTTAATGGTATCAAGTTTCCCTAAAGAGCGTATAGCAATTTTACATCTGGCAACATTGCTTTTAAATCTAAAAGTTATTCTCAAAAAATATGCCAAAACTGCATTTTAAAACCTAATTTTTACAAAAAGTACTAAACTACTAAAATTAAATTAAATTAAGTTTTTGTTAATTTTTTTGGAAATATTAAAAATATAAAAAACTAAAAATTTCGGTATTTTGAATATTTGAGAAAATTAAAAAATTGTGAAAATTAAAAAAACTAAAAAAATTTATAAATTTTTGGAAAAGCTTGAAATTTCGTGCTACCATTTTTTAAATTTATCCCACTATAGTGTAGTTTTAAAATTGTCGACATTAATCAAACAGTTTAATTTGGTGTAAAAGCTTTTTAATTCCAGGAACATTACTCAAAATACTAAGGAAAGCAAAATATTGCCTTTTTAAAACTTCTCTTTTGCTACTATTGTTTTGTATAAAGATAGTAAACATTTCAATGGCTTTCAAGTTTTAATCTTGAAGAAAGATATGATACTAAAAATAAAACAAATCATTTCGCCAACCTAAAATGCTTTAAATGAGTTTTACTTTATATGGGTAGCTTCGTTAGTTAAAAATTTTGAATTAAAAAATGTTTTAATTATTATCAATCTTTTAATTAAAAATCGTCAAAAAATTAAATAATTTAATTAAAATCTTTTAGTTTTAGTAATTTGAGTAATTTATAAAATGATACTTACATCTAGAATCTATTAATTCAACTCAACATTTAATGTTTTATATAAAGATTAATGGTTTTAAAGAAGCTAATGGACGGTAGAAAAAATACTTGGAAAGTTATTTTAGGTCGGGACATTTAAAAGGAAAAATGCGTGGGGTCACAAATAAAAACAGAGATTGCGGTGTTGTAAAAAGAAAAACAATAAAAGAATGTATAATCCTATTCAAAATTAAAAGAAAATAAGAAATGCTTTTATAAAACTTTATGGTCGTTATTTAGAGTGTTTTTTTCTTTATTATTTATGCAAATCATTTCAAGATGCCCTCACATAATATATTTTTTCTACTCCTATTATGGAATATGACCGTTCTAATATATATTAGAACGG